GTGATTAGGTATTTTAGGTACAAAAAACATCCATTCATTATTATGTTATTTGCATAGCCATGTTCTCAGCAACACAGCACTCGGATGCAGAAAGAGAATAAACAAAATGTAATAGTTTTTTATCTATAATAAAAAAAACGTACATTTGTATTGATTTGCAAATTTTCATTCAAATTGTGCTGTCAGCATTAAACCCTCACAGAGCAGTGCAACGCTGCATGGTAGAGAATGACCTGCGGAAGCAGATTTCACAGAACTACTTCTGAGCAGCCGTACGCTCCTGCATCTAGGATCTCCGCCTTCCCCAATCCACGCTGACCGGCCTAGTGAAGGATGCTCAACAAAACCCCACGACCCTCACGGTATCGAGGATACCCTCATCCCCACAGTGGACCGACGAAAGTGTTTGCACACCTGCAAGTTGCTGCTACGTCTTGTATTCAGGGATGCTCAGGTGGTGTTCATAATGGGGAGGGGAACGTGGATTTTTGTGTACGAGGGCTTTGGTCAAAAGAGAAATGCGAGTGTCCACTGCTGGATCGGAGCAAGCGTACCACATGGCTTGTGTGTCGGACAGAAAGCAACTTAGTTCCCAATGTCACATGCTGCGTCTCTTCACAGGGAAAAACGTTGATTTTGTCACACACAAAAAAAAGTATTTCTCAGCTACTGCGACGTATTTAGTTGTTGTTGTTATCTTATTTCTCATTTAAGGACGGCAAGTCCATTACTGGATTCACACACAGCGCATCGTCTAATTGATATGCATTTAGGGCATGCGTGTGGCAAGTTGAGATTGCCAAGCCTATCAGAGGTGTTTGCCGCTAACGAGCAAACACCAGCCAAAGCTGTCTGAAGTGCAAATGATCACCCAAGGATTCATAGTTTGTGATTGAGTGCAGCATTGTGTAAGGTAGCTCCATTTGCAGGAATAACAGGTGCTCTCCCTTTGTAAACCCGAAGCGCGTTCCTATTTTCAGTTATGTAAGATTCAGTGTGGAGGGGTACAGTGTGAGTACTACCACATCGTCCAAGATGTCTGGCCGGTGTGGACGATTTAGACCAGCGGTCGGGAACCTATGGCTCGCGAGCCATATATGGCTCTTCCAGTGACGGCATATGGCTCCCAGACAATTTTGAGTTGAAAAAAAATAAAAAAAATAAACAAATCAGTTTGGAACTGATTTTAAAATACTTGTGATATTGTTTAATAATAGTGTGTCATTTTAAAGTAAACAAAAATTAGTTTTGAAGATAAATTTCACGGGTCACGCCTGCATGAAGCTCAACCTCACCACGTACGAACCAGACTACAAGGCCATCAGCAAAACCATGCAGCACCAGAAGTCGCATTAAAAGTAAGACATATTTAATTTATTATACGTTAAAAATACTATATGGCTCTCAATGAAATATATTTAGAAATATTTGGCTTTTATGGCTCTCCCAGTCAAAAAGGTTCCCGACCCCTGATTTAGACGAAGTACCCTCTCACGGGGCTGTCTGCAGCTCTCTGCAGCGGAGGTTTCGTCAGTAGTGGCTTGAAGCAAGCAATTGCAAGGCTCCAACTTTACCTTTACCGTTTGCCGAGAAGGTCTTTGTCATTGGAATTGCACGCATTAATGAAATTGCACAGCCGTCCCCGGACACGTGAGTGCGGACTGCCCTGCAAAGATTTCCAAGCTTGTATCACATTATACCGACAATGCAACCAAAAGTTACACTGTGGACAAAATATCATTAAAAAAATCTACTTGAAAATATATCGTCCTCATATATATATCATCATCCACATTTTTTTTGTACTACTTTTCCGTGCATAATTGTAGTTGCGTCGGTTCAACACAAGTGTAGTGACTTACTCGGAGACGCTAAGACTTTGAGGCACTTCTTCTATTCAACTGAGCACCCTTTACACAACACACACCCTACGCTGGGAGACACTCTTCTGTCGCCCGCTTACACACAACTCTACGTGCTTTGCTATCCTATACACAACACGAGCCGTCCAACACCGACGGTGCTGAACCGAGACAGAAAACTACCATCTAGCAGTGCAATATCGAATGAAGACGACAGCGACGATCTTCAACAGCACGACGTGGATCCCACTCCAAACGACAGCCCCGAGCTCTCACTCAGGGCCCCCTTTTATGCTCCCAGCGTGGCCTGGCTCCGCCCCGGCCACGCCCCCTTTCTAGAACCTACCAGCGGGTTCTCGGGCTTCCCCCACGTGTCCCTTCTGTAACATTTCCCCCAGATATCCCCTCTGGTGTATCACGTGACCTGCTGACGTCAGGGCTGCTGTAAGCTGCAGATCCCCTTCCCCGCCAGCAGCCAGCACTATGCTGCTACATTACTTAGTCTATGCCACTACACAAGTGTAAAGAAGCTCCTTCGAGACGTCCATTTTGTGTAAGTAGAATCTTTATTTCTAAGGGGCCGTCCATAAATGACGTCACGCACCTGGGAGGGGGGGGCGGGGTCAGACATTTGTGACGATGTGTGACGAGGGGGGGTTGAGAAATGTGACGTCACATCAAAATGCGCAACTTTGAATAAATATAGACAACACTTAATTAAATATACGTTTTAATAAATGTTTTCTCCTACATCATCAGAGTGCAGCGCCACATTAAATACGCACTACAATGACAATAGTTTAAAGCGATTTGAAGCATGGTTTATTTTTTTGTAACGTCATATTTGAGGGAGGGGGGGGGGCTGACTTTTTGTGACGTCGTGTGACGAAGGGAGGAGGGAGTCAAAAATCGTCCAAAATCGCGTGACGTCATTTATGGACGGCCCCTAAGGTCAACGAGGTTGGCTCTTCAGTTCAGCGCCGTCAACGTCAGACGGTTATCGTTGTGTTGTAGGCTAGCAACCAGTGTAGAGTTGCGTTAAAACGAGAGACAGAGCGTTGTGTTACAGCAGAGAGCGTGTTACAGCAGAGAGCGTGTAACAGTGTGCTCGGTGTTTAATTAAAGAATTGCCTCCAAGAAGTCATGTCTCCAAGTCAGTCACTACACAAGCAAACTCTGGACCGGTTTTGACGCACCGTGTCTCGTCAGTGGCAAAGTTCAGACTTAATTCTAGATTTGAAGCTTTCGTATTCACAGCTATCGTGCTGTGACTGTTCCACCTGAAGACGGAAGATTGTGTTGCTTCCGAAACGTCGTGATTTTTATTTTATTTTTATTTTACTTTTATTAATTTTAATCTTTTTACCTACGTGACTTTACCGAAAAAAACCTAAGAATAAGTTCAGACTTGCTTGAATCAGTGCCGGTGAGCTGCCAGATGTTATTGACAAGGATGAGCTCTTTAAGACACGGGCCCGAATATATAACACGAAATTATCATGAAAGTCATTGTGGAGATCAACAAGTAACAAAATAAATAAGCGGGCAATATATCGCCGTCATATATTTGTCCCTGCACGTATTATTTGTATTGTTGAAATTGAGTTAAAAATAAATGTTCACTCGAGTTTATCCTATCCACATGGTGCCGGTGGTGGCTTTGATGTTGACAAAATAAATCCTGAGCCTAAAGCTTCTCAACTTTGATATTAAAGAGAGTGGCTGCTATTGATTGTATTGTTTTAAAGCCCCTATATAAGTGTTTGCTAATCGGTTTGCCTGTCTGGGCCGCGGAGAGCTGTTATTCTGACCGTCAATTCAGCAGGAATGATTTTGCCACCGCGGCTGAAAGACGGTAACTCCACAGTAGTAGCGCTCGGCAAAAGAAAATCAAGCAAATGATTAGGTTTCCCTAAGTAGCTCAAGGGGCCCCAGATTCGTGAGAAAAAATCAGTGGAATCGAATATCAGCTCAATCCTAATCAACATAACAAGCTCACGAATGCACGATGTCAATTAACCTGCCTCATTTATATATAATCTACATCTCTCTTTAATCTCACTACATTTTATATTTATGTTTAAATTTCGATTTAAAGCTGTCGTGACTGCAGGGATTCATCTTCTTGGTTCTTTCAGTAAAGTCAAGTAGAATGGAAATAATAAAATAATAAAAATAAAACATAATAAAATACATTTGCTTCACTCCACTACATCGCTATCTTGTCTAAATCTCTTCTGCCATCTGACTAGCGATATTGTTTTTAAATATCAAAGGAGGCCTACCAAATTAATTTCTGCTCAGGGCACCCCTAACGTCGCTGTCAGTCTGCCTTGCAATGATGGGGTTAGGTGGCGCTGGGAGACTCGGGCCGAGTGGGAAAAGCTTTTATTGTTACTGGAAGAAAAAAAAGTTTAAATCCGTGGAAGTGAAATTCTATTGCAATGTAATTAAATCACCATGCGTCGCGAAACATCGGAAACATTTTTTCCGCCCGAATGTTTTCCCGTCCTTTGAGCAGGTACCGTGTCCCATGTGGCACGCGGCCAGAAAACCAGCCAACCTTTTACTGGCTAACGTAGCTCTCACAAAATAGGCAACTAATTAAGTCCGAGTTCAAGACAACATCATTTTCACTCTACCTCTCTGACCTCTCTATTTATGTGCAATGAAAAAGGGCCATTGCCCGAAAACATCACCTATTATATATATATTTTTTAATTCAGGCCACGTACTTTTTCCTTTTCTATGGGATTGTACACCACTGCCAATGCAATATAACCAAATAATTTGATTCAATTATCAGTGAAGGCACTTTAACCCAGTAAGATGATTTAACCGACTCGGAAAATTGAAGGGAGATTTTAACGTTAACAATTGTATTGTAATTATAAATTGTCTTGCTGTGACCGAGTGTGATTACCTGGAAATCAAATCACCGATTGAAGTGCTTCATCATCGTAACGGTTAGCAATAGAGCGGCGCGCGCAACATTCCACTGTGACGAACGAATCTCACAGGCGCGCAAAGGTTGATATTAATGTTTTTAAATAGATTTTTTGCAATTGCATTTTTTTTCTGCTGTCCAATTTTTTCTGTGCATGTCCCCCCCCCCCCTATCCGTGTTTTTGTGCGCAGGGGTCCGTGACAGCGATTTGCAGCGTGAGCTCCCCTCGTCTCTGACCATCATTACGAACTCAAGTTCCCACAACCAACACATCTTCGTCTCCCGCTAATTGTCCTTGTCTCTCCCGCTAATTATCCCCGTCCCGAAAGCCAACAATTAGATATTTTGGACAAAGAGACTGCGAAGACCGCTCTCAAAAACAACAACCCCCCCCGCAGACACACAATCACCCCGTTCTTTAAATATGCAAGACGTTCACAGTCGCTGCAAGTCCAAATTATTATAATTTAATGCTGGAATGTAAGAGCGACGCTATGCGATAAATAAATAAATATTGGATGTTTAAAAAAACGCTTTATTGGCATAACAAAAATCCGAGGAAAGTTTGTAGAATTATTCTGATGAAATAACTTTGACGAGCGTTGACGTGCCCTAAATTTTCAGCGCCGGTCCCTTTTGAAAATAAACTTGGAAGAAATCATTTCGTTTCTTTTTCCTTATTTTTTTCCTCTCGCCACCCTGCGACTAAACACATCCGAGTTCCTTTGAAGAGCGCGAGAGGCAATAAAGAGGCTTAACCATGAATTTCCTGAGAAGACGTCTATCCGACAGCAATTTCATGGCCAACCTGCCCAACGGCTACATGATGGACCTGCAGAGGCCAGACCCGCCACAGGCCCCGCCTCCCTCCGTGTCACCATCGGGGGGCCCGGCACAGCCAGGTGGCGGTGGCGGCAGCGGCGGCGGTGGCGGTAGCGGCGGCGGTGGCACCACCGGGGCCGGAGTGGGCCCTGCTGGATCTGCCGCTGCCACTTCAGGCGCGGCGCCCCCAGCGGCGTCAGTGTCGCCCGCGGCGCAGTCGCCCGCCACGCCGCAGCCAGGAGAGCAGCGCCGCCTGTCCCAGTCGTCCGGAGGTGAGATGAGATCCGACGCCGACGACGGTGCCGGGTATATCGATTGCAGTCGGCTATCGATTTGTCCAGAGTAAATGTGGCAGGTGGTGGCGGTGGGTGGGGGGGGGGCAAACAAAAACGCTGCTCGCAGACTACCAGTTTATAATGCCCTGGTGGACGATACAAGTCACATTTCAATAGCTTGGGCGTGAGGCTTTATTGGGACGAGATGAAAGAAAAATCCGAGGAAGTATTTGTGGAATTATTCTGGTGAAAGAACTTTCACGGCAGGCAACATGCCCTACATAATCAGCGCCGTTCTCTTTGAAAACCAGCGAGCTGGCCACGAGTTTTGTTTGTATGTTGAAATTATTTCGCACCGTACGCCGGAGCCAACCGTGCTAATTCGGAGTTTTATATATCGGTGCCAATTAACTGACACAGCTCGTGCCGATCTCAGCCTTTGCCTTGCTGTCAAAATTTGATGAGGGCCAAAAAAATGGTCTCTTTGTCCCATTGTGGCATATTTTATGCTGCTCGTTTGCGTTTTCTCAAAATTCAAACGTGGAATTCGCCACAAGTACGTGTGGTTAATGCAGATGTAATGCCTTGCAAACCAAGTATATATTTGTTGTGTGAACATCGTAACACCTCCTGTTGTATTGCCCACAAGCTGGACAGCCAGCATGCCCACAGCATCTTACACACACACAGCGCTAAGTTCGTCAACCAATAATATAGAGGTATGATGCTTTCACCTTACCACAATAATAATAACAACAAAACAAAAGATTACAGAGTAGGTTTTTGTTTCTTTCTCACTGACAGATGGGCGACTCGTGGCTGTAATCATCTCGGTTGCCAGCAGCCTCTTATCTCCGCGCCTGCAGCCCCACCCCCCCTACCCCCCCACCGCTGGCATTTTTTTGGCACCACATTGGTTTTTTTTATTGTTTTGACCACTCGCCCCGAAATTTTAGACCTCAACATCGGCGGCATCTATCTTCCAAAACGCCAATAATGGGCATCAGTAAATGGAGGAGGGCCCCCCGCTGAGCGCTGGGCTGCCAACACACTTCCCGGCTCTAGGTGCCGTTTCTCTCACGGGAAGGCCCCACGCTCGAAGCGCAGAGCTCCACGCGCATTGTCGCCAACTGCCGTTGGCGGTGATGCGGTGGAGGTGGAGGGGGGCAAGGAGGGGCTATGGCGAGGGAGCGGGGCTATTCACCCCCTAGACCAGGGGTCGGCAACATGCGGCTCTTTACGGGCTGCTTCTTGACGATATGTAAGTATGTACAGTATGTACTCAGATGCATTGCGGCTCTTGAAATACTGAATTTTGTACCGAATTGGAAAGAAATGGCTCTTCTTGTTATTTTGGTTGCCGACCCCTGCCCTAGACAGACTGGTGGGAGCGGGGCATATAACAGATTGTGCCACTCCTCACTCAAAATACCTTTGGGACAGGGATCAGGAATAAGTAAAAAAATAACGTTGTCAACTCTCTAGGTTTTGTGACCTTGCTGCGCTGTATGCGTTCCATGTCTCCCGCAGGAAATTTGAATTTAATGTGCACGTTGTTAAATGTAAATGAGACTTGCACTAACACATTACTGAGTATTACCAATTCAAAGAGGTGGATGTTCTCTCACCTCTCCCAAGACATCTGGCTAGTGGAGCGGCTCCCTAGAGCTTCCTTCTCAGCAAGCAAAGCCTCGATTTCTCCATTGCCCTTGCCAGACCAATCTTAATGGCGCCATGGCCTGCAGCGCAGGATGATCAGCAGAAGTAACTCGGCCGACTGGAAACCTGAAGTCATCCCAGTCGGACTCGAGATTTGTCAGTCACCATGTTCACTGCAGTCTGCCTCGAGGAGGTTGCCTTTCCGCCGCTCGCTGAGCCCCTTGGCATCATCGCGATGAACAATATTCTGGTGCAAAGAGGAGTCATCAACTCGCTCCGTGTCCCCCGTAACGTCCCACTGTTGAGCGACTCAACTTGTGCAGCAATGCGTCAAGATCTTCTCGGCTCAAGGGAGGGGGGGTAGTCTTCTTGGCAAAGGTGTTAACTCAGCCGGGACAATTACATGCACAGCCATGCACGAATTCCCATCCCAGGCCACTAAATGAGCGGCTGTACAAGCTGCTACGCACGCCATAGAGCATTTAATAGTGTAGAGGGAGATTGTCCCGAGCCCGCTCTGCCAGAGACAACACTTTTCCCCGACACACCACAGCAAGCGAGCAGAAAGTTCCACGAGCGAATCTGATTTGAGCAAAGGTCTTATTGCTTTGAAGGATTTTAAGTTGCCCCGCGTCCCCAAATCTGGTTTCGCACGCAGATGGACATTATTTCATGTCTGATATCATCCAGATTAACTGATGCTGGCATGGGATTATTTTATTTTTTTCCTTATCTTTGTGCAAGCACAGCAAAGATATATATTTTTTTAAATGCCAATAAAGAGGGGTGAAAGCGAATGGAACGGCTTCTCCCGAGGTGATGTCATTTACGAAGAGATTTTTTATTATTATTATATCGCGTAAATATAAATGTCATTAAACGGGCCACCACTCGACACAGCCAATTAGTAATGCTTATTACGTAAAGAAAACATGTCAATTAGTTACTACTTCAGCACACCGGTGTGTTGGAAAGTAAACCGACATTTTTAATTCGATTACGATGTTTCGCCGGTTATTACAACCAGCCTCATCAGGCGACAACCAGAATTATGGATAATCCTTCCACAATCTAAAATTACTGGGGTACCTAGAGATGGAGGGAAGGATGGGCCAGGGAGAAGAGGTGGCGTCCTGAGTGAGGAGCAGAAACGAGAGAGGGAGGTGCTGCTCGCTGAATGTGGAGGGGAAATTTGTTCCATTGCAAGGGGGTGATTTGCCCGTGGAATTTTAAATATGTAAATTATGAAATCGGACGTTGTAAAAACTCTTGTTTAAAGGCATAAACACACTTTTTTTGACGTAGCGAATCAACATAGTAGTCTCGTCTAGTGTTAGAACAGACTGACACTGAACATGTCACTGAAAACCCTTAATTTAGCTCCGTTAACGGCGGGTTTTAACTTGAAATAAATACAGACATTTTCAAGATGGCAGCTCCGATTTGATGGCGCAGAATCCATATTTTGGGTGCAGATCGATGTTGTGGATTGCACTTAGCGATCCAAACCATCTTAGACACGCCCCCTTTAACGTCCTAGTCTCATATGTGAACAAAGGCACGTCCACTTCGAAGTGCCCGCTTTTATGTCTTGTCCGCTTTTATCGTATGACAATGAGGTTAACAATGGCTCCCCGGTTCAATCCGCGGGCGGGAGGGCAGGAGAGGGGAGGCTGGGGGAGACTCATTTGACTCTTGACTTGCTCGACTACTGTTTTGCTTGAATTCCTGTTCATTGTCTGGAGGTAATTATCGACCTTTAGTGATTCCACTCCTCGGCTTGTGTTGAGTCCTCCCGGTCCAGGCGTTCCTCCTTAAACGTTTCTAGTTTATTGGCCGTGAACTTCTCAACCCCACTCAGGCATCTAGTTTAAGGCGAGTGATGTAGGAACTTATCCTGGGCCCCCCTCCGCATGGACCAGCTCATTGCAGCCCAGTGATGCTCAACAAACACAACGCTTGAAGGCCTTCATCCAGCAGTTGATTGACAAGGGGCTGAACACTATGTTATCGATTTATTTACTTCATCTCGCTCAACCAACTAGTATGGCATCCTGTGATTGCCGGACGCAAGGCACATGTCTGTATTTCAATGAAAAAAAAACTGAGGGTCGGAGGAAATTGCAGAGATGGAGCCAACAGCGGCACTTGAGTGCTGGAATTGAAATTGTCACGATGGCAGCTGTGGCAATGTTTCTGTGGCGGCGCGTCCCATGACTGGATGTAGCCCACCACGCTAATCAGTGCTGGATGAAGCTAGTGCGGTGCCTGTAGCATAATGTTATGAAGGGGCCCTAAATAAAAAAAAAACTCACGTAAATATTTAAACACACATTTTTTTTATTTGCATAGTAAATTATTGTAGTTTTCATTTTGCTCTACAGCTAGATAATACGACAAACATTAAACACACCAATCGTTCATAAAAGTTGAAGGCAGTATATAGTAATAGAGCAAGTGCAGAATCACTGAACCGGAATTGATAGCTTTAAAGCTTTAAAGCATTTAGCTCTGGGCTCTTGAAAGTGCGGGGCCCGTAGCATAAGCTACTTTTGCTACTGGGATAATCCGGCACTGGCGCTAATCGGGGGTGCGGGGGAATGACAACAACCAAAACAGAGAAAGCAGTTCTAAAGAAATAAGTTGTCAATCTAGATTTAAAAGTGCATTGCTCCAGTGGCTTCCTAATATTGGAAAAAAGAGCATTCCAGACGGCCGCAGAGGCGCATCTCAAAGTGCTGCGCGATGCCGTGACCATCTTTGTTCGACGACCAGCCAATAGCCGCTGCGAGTTCGCGTTATGGTTTGTTATCCTTGACGAAATCAGCAAAATATTGTGGTTCATTTGCGGCAAGCACTTTGCGTGTAATGTGCGCGACCTCTTGTCGTATTCGTTGTGCATGTACATGGACCACGTGCGCGTGTCCGTGATGGGCTGCCCGCGTGCAGGTGGCGAGGCGAAGGCGGGTGGGGGCATCACGAGTGGAGCCAGCGGATTCCTAAGCTCCCTGTCCAACGCCGTGCGGCAGACGACGGCGGCAGCGGCGGGGCTGGTGGAGCAGACGGCCGGCAGCGTCTCCGGCAGTGCGGGGCGCAAGTCCAAGGTGCTGCTCGTGATCGACGACCAGCAGACCGACTGGTGAGTCCCTCCCTGCTCTCCCTCGCTCGCTCGCTCGCTCTCTCGCTTCTCTTCCTCGTGGTCCACCCTTTTTCTTCTTCTGTCGTATGGCTGATGTTGATGCAGAGCAATAATCTTACAATTTGACATTCGGGTGGTCAAGCCAGATAGCCACGTCAGGAGCAGCGGAGTGTGTCGCCGTGACGCGTTTTTCATATTTGTGGATCGAGCGTTGCGTCGGTATATGTCGTATGGTACGTCTTGGATGACGACAGTCACACACTGGAGTGTTTTCAATATTCCACTTGTGCATCGGGTATCCGCATCTGCCATGGTTTGTGCGGATGCGGTTTAGGGTGAACCATGGACTTCGTTGAAGATCAAACCTAATGATCTCCTGCGTTGGGTCTTTCACAATGATCCTCCAACTGAATATCCAAACATCCCGAATAAGCACCTTATTGAGGATCCCAATACTACCACCACCACTACCACCCAGACCCTAGGAAGTCCACTGCCCCCCACCTCTACCCCACACAAGCAGTGGGCTGCATCAGATCGTATCCAAGTCATTGGAGATGGTGCCCGTGAGCAGCACGTGGAGGTCCGAGTGGTTTTTTGGGCCATTTTGGGCCATCCTGGACCGAGTACTGAGACATCGTTGCCAAGTCGGCCGAGTGAGAGAGAGAGGGCTTAGGCTGAGAAGTGTTTCAATCCCTTGGGCTTAGAAATGTAAGTCAGGCTCTCACTCGTGGCACTGCACTGTGGCACAGGGCCAATGGCATGTACCGATTAATAGGTTGCATGGTGGACGCCCAGCCAAGCACTCACTGTTCAGGCTCAGTCCTCTTTCGCTTGTCGAGATCTGATATAGCTAGGGCAAATTCCAGGTGGCGCATTCACAAAGGCAATGCATTTCATGCATTAGCAATTGATTGCTTGTGAATCGTGTTAAATTTAGGCAAATGGTCGGACCGAGTGAGCAAGACAAAACAGGAAAGAGAAAACAGACGAGACGGTGTGGACGAGAGAGATGGTACAGACGGGGCAGATGAGATGGACAGGACAAACGAGACGTACGGTGCGATTCTTGGGCATGTGCTCGATGGATTCTTTCATCGCAGGATCGCGAAAGATGGAAACGACTTGCAAAGGAGGCCTTCATCCAGCAGTGGATTTGACCGTGGCTGCTGATGATGATGATGATGACGGTGGTGGTGATGATGGTCCCTTATCGCGCGTGTATACAATGACAACGGTGACGAGGTGTCTGCTTGTATGCATGTACGTTGAACTTCTTTCGCACCGTGTGTAGCCAACCGTGATAATCAGAGGTGCGGTGGAAGGACAGCAAAAAGCAACACAAAAATCCGTCTTTTATTTGTTTCAATACTCCTCGTGGCAAAACGCAGCAGCGGCAGCTCTCCCCTTGTTGTTGTTCGAGCCGCTGCAACCACATGCGGTGACCACGTCACCAAGGGGACGATCGATGCTGTTGTAATTCACTGTTTCCAAAGTCGCGGGGGGAGGTGGGGCGGGGGGAGAATTGAGCTCGACCACGTGCAAGGTAGGGTGGCTGTGATCCCAGACCCAGGATTTTACTCGACCTGAACAGGTACCCGGCGCGTCCTCAGTCATCCCGCGGACTTGACCTTTCCGGCCTCGCGACCCGTGAAGCGGATTTCGTTCTCTCCCGAATTTCTTACCCCCCCCCCACCCCCCGGCAGTGCACGCGCACGCGCACATGCGCATGCACTTCATCAGTGTCATTCACCGATACAAATGTGCTCTGTGGAAAGATAAGATAGGGCGTGAGGCACGCGTAGACCTTAAAACACCCACTCGTGCGCGCGCATGAGGTCGACGTGGTCGAAAGTTATGTTACGGTGCGTAATTACAGCAGGGATCTTGCCCAAAATGTCGCCTATTCTGTATTCTGTTACATTTATGGGCGGAATGTTACGGACGAATGTATTGAGTTTCTTTTTGTTATTCGAATGATCCGTCTCAGTTTATTGTACCTCGGAAGCGACAGGCTTACAAGTTGACAACGGAGGTTGTTTGGCTATACTTCACCACGCTGGTCACGTGTGGCTTGGTGAAGGTGACGTCGGAGTCGATATCAATCGCCACTGACGGTCGTTGTCCATGGCCGGACTCACAGCGCAGCGCTTTAACCGCTGCGCCACCGCTCCACCACGCATCCGCTGAGTGTGTATTCGCGACCTGGCCACACTTGGTGGATCGACAAAGTAGTTTATCATCATCACGTGGACATTGATAGCAGCCAAATTACTCCGAAGGTACTGTACGTTGATTCTAAATGTGGAGGGGAAAACCGGTGGACCCGGAGAAAAATCCACACAGCTACGGGGAGAGAGACACGCAGACTCCAATTATACAGCAGGCGTCAGGGTCGGGATCGAACCCACGACCTCCTGCATACCAGGCGAGGGAGTTAACATCTCGCCACCGTGGCGCCCAATAATCATATATTTTGGTTTGTGGGGTTGTGGTTTCCTATTTCAACTGCACTGTCGGAGGGATGTCACGAAATGAGGCAATTCCTATTCGGACCTCTCAAAGATGGTTTCATGTTTACTGTTTTTTATATTGACTTAATGTTCTTCATATAAAACCGGTGAGATAACCATAAACCTCTGCCTTACTCGGGAGCCCTGTGGGATGTGGATGCAAGGGTGCAAGAAGCAGACGAAATTCATCCAAACAGCTTCATATGGTATGACTGTGAAAGTTAAAATAACACACTCTTACACATTTCTTGACATTATAACTTCAACTAAAAAAATCCAGCTCTAAGGATATAACCAAAACTATATGAATGTATTTGCCTGTCATGAATCGAACGTTTGTCTCGAAGCAGAGTTGGTGGAAAAGTGGAGTCTCAATTTTCTTATTAAAAGGTCACTTACGCGGTTGTCAGAAGTAGTCACGGGATATTTCCCTCCACAAGCAATTCTCTGCCACGAGGCAATACACCTGAATGAACATTTTAAATCGGCAATAAAACACCGGGTGGTAAAACTTATTATTAGTTTTCATACTCTGATACTGCCAAAAAAGGCCCCATGATGTAGCTGCTCACTCCGAGCTATACATGCTCTGATACGTGAATGTCTTCGTGCTGTTCGCCTTTTGGCGTTCTCTGGCCTGACACCGGTGAGACTAAGCCATAAAGAAAGCTGTCTCTGGTGTAGGCCGATCCGTTTCAAAGGCAATGACATATATTACCAGAGCATGTTTTGTTACATGTTCACCACAAGTAGGTGTGGTTTATGCAGACTTAATTCCTTGCAAAATATATCTCTATGGTGTTTGAACATCTTCACATCTGTTTTATTTCCAGAAAGGGTAAAACCTATTCTCATTTTTCATACTTTGAGAGTGGCAAAAAAGGCCCCATGATAGGTAATACACCGCTCTGCACGAGCTCCAGATAGATGATTTCTCTCACGACATGACGTCAATAACAAATTAGAACAGAATTGGATAACAGGCGACAATAAAAACAATGATTAAACAATTCACGGGGCTGTAGAGTAGATGACTTTGTATTTCGCAAAGGATGACTATGCACTTAAATTCTAACTCAATTAATTAGCAAACGATCTGCACTCCACGGGAAGGAAATCTGTTTAGGCTGCGTCTGCTGTTTGTAACTTTTTTTTTACGAATCATATTTAATATATATTAATAGTATTAATGCCGCGGGCTGATGTGGAGATGGCGCACATTAGCGAGCGTGAGTCATGTGTTGTGGCTGCGCGCTTTCCCCGGCAGATCTAATCACTGTTTGCCCTTCATAAACAAACAGGCAAACGGGGCATGTTCACATCCTACGATGATCACAGTAACGGCGCACCCTTCGAAAGGATACTCTTTGTGTGTCTCGTTGGACCCCCCTCATTGTGGCGTTGGACCCTCATTGTCTCGATGGACCCTCGCTTGGCTATGCAGCTGGGACGATCATTAAATTAAGTTTGAGTGATGGACTAAAAAAGAATAACTTGTGTGTGTCTGTGTGTCCTCGGGGAGTTTGCTCTTTATCCCACTACGCATCTCCACACAGCACCTGACAATTGTAGTCGATACACATTTTGGCGATGATCGCTTTGTTTACCAGCCGAAAAAGGCCTTTCGACATTTGCAGAGTTTTGCTGTTGTCAATGCCGGTGGGGGGGGGGGAGCTAATGAGGGCCCCCTTTCGAGAGTGACACTGAAGACCACCGAATTGATCTGCACGCCCTAGCAACGTTGTGTGGTGGTCAATGTTCAGCGTGGGATCACGGATTCAAAGAGTCTGACAGGGGGCCCGTGACGTGAAAGCCCCTAGCTTTGACGCCCACCCACCCCCCACCCCCCAAAAAAAACACCCTCGTGACCTTAATGAGTGACACAACCTTCACGTAGAAGCGTATGTAAACACACCTATTGCGCAACATTGCTCTTAGAAACGTGAGAGAATAAACCGCACGCGTTTACGATTAATAGATCACCTTGGATTCGCCAGCATATGCGCAATGCAGCCCGATGAATGTGCCAATTTCGTTTGACAAGAATAATGCCCCGGTGGTGAATTCCCACCGACCGATGTGTTAACCGTGCGTGGAGAATGCTCGCTATTGCCACGTGCTCGTGGGAATTGGAGTGCAGGGCTGTGACAATATCACCTTGAGTCTCGCCCGCAGCGTGCGCGGATCTCGGGAGCTTGGACGGATGAGCGTCCCACATGCTGAGTCCAGGATCTGCGCGACGTGCTAGTCAGTGCACATGAATTCCATTGGGCTGGACTTGTACGGTTCTGCTTTGGGATTGGGTGACCATTGGTGCATCCCAGGTGTTGTAGGTGGGGTGGGGATGTAAACCGTGAGACGGCCAGGAGATGGCAGTACAGTAATGGGCTCATTCCACCAGCAAATTGACTCCAACACACCAACACGCCAGTGTGCTGTACTCGTAACGAATTGGCATGTTCTGTTGACGTGACAAACCGTACTAAT